TAAAAAAGATAAAATTAAATGATCTTTCTTTATTTGAAATTTATAATTTATAAAAAATAAAATAAAAAATAAAAAACCAAAACTACAATTATGCTAAGTGCACCTAAACATGTATTAAGTTGTTAACGTTTTAAATAAGGCAAAATGAGCAAATTCCTCCAAAATTATTATGTTAAAGTAAATTATTATAAAAAAAATATTGATGTAATTTATTATCTTAAATTTTCAAATTTAAGAAAGTGGTTCAAAATTATCAATTATTATTTTTTTATTAGATTTTAAAAACAATAGATTAACAGGGTTTAATAATAATTGTTAAATTTATACAAATTTATTAAAATAAAAATTTAAAATAATAAATTATATAAATATTTTTTTAAGTGCATCTGGCCCTTGAGGTCTAGTAGTATTAGCCACCGGTGTATTCCTCCTCTCCCCCGGGCAGGGTTCGAAATCCGCCTCTTGCAAAATATGTTCAAAAAAAAAATTTTTTTTAAAGTAATAATTAATTTCAATGTAATAATTTTTTGGGCTAATTTGCACATTGGACCTTTAAACAATAAAAATTCAACATTTTTGGGCCGGGTGAATTCAGCTCGACCTCGACCTGTTGCGATCTGGGCTTGCAGCCGCTTCAGTCCAATCTGCTTAACTCAAGTCTCAAACTCGGGGTTGCCGAGCTCTGTGATCCGTCTTTCGCAGTTCCCTGCTCCGGCTTGCGGCTGGATATGGCGTAACGTTTTCTTGTCCAACAAAACAAGGAAATATTCAATTGACAGATAATGGAAGCGGTGGCGGAGGGACTGTGGGGTCTGGCGGATTACCACGAGAAGACGGGAGAAATAGGGAAAGCCATCAAGTGCTTGGAGGCGATCTGCCAGTCTCGCGTCTCCTTTCTCCCCATCATCGAGGCCAAGACTCGCCTCCACGTCGCCACCCTCCTCCTCCGTCACACCCACAACCTCAACCACGCCAAAGCCCACCTCGAGCGCGCCGTTGGTTTCCTTACTACCTCTTTCAAGTTTGATTTTCGTTATGATTCAATTACAATCTGACCTTTCAGATAATCCTTTTTCGTGCAGCAATTGATCCTCAACTCTATCCCTTCATGCTTCGAATTGAAGTGCAGAGCCTACAGCTTGCTCAGCCACTGCTACAATGTTCTGGGTTCCATACCTCACCAGAAGCAGATCTTATATAAAGCTCTTCAACTTACTTCTACTGTTCCTCCAGAGTATGCGTTTCTCTTTCAATTCTGTTTCCAGTCCTTCTTTGGTTAATTTGATTAATACCCTTTTTTTTTTTTTTGTATGGGTTCTAGTGTTTCAGTCCACTTATGGTCTTGCAACTTCAATTCGCAACTAGCAAATGCCCTTGTAATTGAGGGAGACTACCAAAGTTCTCTTACTGCTTTGGAGTCTGGTTATGTTTCTGCTTCTCAAATTGGTTATCCTGAGCTGCAGGTTTGTTTGTGTTATAGGTTTACACTGTTTCAGTTGCTATGGGGTTTATATGAGTGTCTGATTCATGTTTTTATTGTTGCGTTTCAGATGTTCTTCACCTCTTCTATACTGCACGTGCATCTCATGCAGTGGGGTGATCAGACCTTGGTTGAGCAATCCGTTGGCAGATGCGACGACGTGTGGAAGACAATTCACCCTGAAAGAGTAAGTGCAAACCCTCTTCATATTATGATCTGTGAATCACCTTTTATTTTTATTTTTTTTAAGTTTCTATATCCTGTAATTCTTTCTATTTCATTCGTATGCATTCATAAATGAAATTTGTTATGGTGCTAATACTTGAAAATGGTACTTTGTACCCACCTCCTTGCACCCCTAAAGAGAGCGAACTGCCTTGGGTTATTCTTTTACAACGAGCTGCTGCACGTATTCTACCGACTTAGCATCTGCGATTACAAGAATGCTTCCCAACATTTAGACAAATTGGACAATGCTGTGAAGGCTGATTCACAAAAGATTCGGGAAGTGCAGCAGCTGACTAATGAACTTAATGCCTTGAATCAAAGTCTCTCTCGCTCTGATTTACCATCAAGGGAGAGATCAGCACTCATCACAAGGCAAGCTCAGCTTCGAGAGAGGATTGGAAATATGACTATGTCTAGCTCAGTTGGAAAAGAAACCTCAGAATCTGCATTTCTTGGAACTATAAGACAAGTTTGGGAAGATAAGATTGTCATGGCACCAGCTCCTATGAATGGGGAATGGCTACCAAAGAGTGCTGTTTATGCACTTGTTGATCTTATGGTGGTCATATTTGGGCGCCCAAAAGGAAATTTTAAAGAGTGTGAAAACCGGATTCAGTCTGGAATGAACATTATAAAAGGTTGGTTATTAGAACCATGATTTGATTATATTTCTTTCTAATTGTTTCATTTTAGTCCCTTCCAATTCTAGTTTGATTCCAGTTCATCTTTGAAAATTAGTTCGAACTATTAAACCTTTATATTTTAGGTTGAAATACATAGTCTAATGACTTGATATGTTGAAAATGTTATCTATTTCAATGATCTTTCACTAAATCTTGGCTTCCTCTTACTAACAAAAAGAAAAAAAAAAAAGGAGAAAAGAAAAAAAAAAAAGAAGGTATCTTCTCCTCCATCTATTGGCATGGAAGAATAAAGATGAGATAGTGTTGGCTGCAACCTTTAAATTAAATAATTCTTGGAAGCCTAGGTACTTCCTTATGCTGCTCATAGCATGCTTCAAAATCTGTTCCACACCAATTAAATAGGGTTTTCACTATAATTTTTTGTGGATGTCACTGTAATAAAGGTAATAGCCATGGGATTTCATAGTAATTTTTGCTGGATTTTACCCTTATGCTGTTGTTAGCATTCCATATGTAGAAACCTGAGTAATTTTATTTCTCCCAGAGGAACTGGTCAAGCTGGGAATAACTGATGGCGTGAGAGGTTAGCACCAACTTTTGAATTTTCATTTTTTTTTTTTTAACAGATTGGAACAAGCTCTATCTTCAAATTTTCTTAATGTGTTTATCTGTTTTTTATTCATTTGCTATGTTACTGCTTTCAATTTTCTTTTGAGTAGAAGTGGATTTGCAGCATTCAGCTATCAGGATGGCTGGTGTGTATTTAACACTACTGATGCAGTTTCTTGAGAATAAAGTGGCTGTGGAGCTCACACGATCTGAATTTGTTGAAGCACAAGAGGTAGGTGGCATGCCTCCTTTTTCTTTCTTTTAACTTTCAAATTGAAGCTGTTTTTTGCATGCATTTACTGATGCCCCCTGCTTCTCATATTTTAGCTTGCTGTCTTGGGTTTTATGATGAAAAATAGTCAAATTGAACATAATTTTATTCGGTTAAAGTCTGCATCATTGACTTTTGTGGATCATTTTGTCTTTGCCGAGCCAATCTAATACTTCAGCCTTTTGCCATTTATACATGCTCATAAGTTACAATAACTACCGTTTTATGCCACAAAGCATACATGCATACACTATTTAGTATTTACCATTGGAAATTAGTTAATATTAATATAATTTTTCTCTTTGAACCTGTAAGAAAACTTCTTTTATGTTACATTCTTCTTGTTTCACTTTAAACATGTCGCTACTTTTGCTTCTTTTTATCAATGTTCTTTGGGGCACATATTGAGTCACTCATTAGAACATTAACCTGGATGTTACTAGGTCCAGTTAAGACATTGTAAAGAAATTATATGAAGTTGGTTTTTGGAATTGGGCTTGATATTGGAACTTAAAATGGAGGAGGTACTTACTGCTTTGGGATTTGAATGAATGGAATGATATTTGGCCTTGTATTTCAAAAGCAGTTTCGACTAAAGATAAAATGATTGTCTTTTTTGGAAATCTGAGAAATGTGGCTTGAATTTGGTCAAAAATGAGAAAAAAATGATGGAAAATGAGAGGAATAGGAATTTGTTTGCTCCAAAGTGAGATATTTGGGTAAAAAAGGGTCCTTAAAATGTGGGATTCTTTGTTTGGAGACCTTAAGTAGGGGAATCCCATTAGTAAGCTGATCACTCATCAGATTTTGATACTATTGATTGCTTTGTGTGTATATGCAGAAATTTTTCTCATTATTATAGTGTATCCTCCAAAAAAAAAAAAAAAAAAAAAGAAGGATCAAATATTTATACTTCAACTTTCTTGTATTAAAACTCTGGCTTGCAAACCTGAGTACTTTAAGTTCTCTTTTGAAAAGATTGGGTTTGGAATTGTTGGAAGAGTCTTTGGCAGAGGAAGAGCAAGTTCTTTCTTTGATCTTCCCAGGAGCATATTCTACATCACAAAAGTTATATAGAGGGCGGATTTGGTATTTGGATATTCTTTGTGTCAACGCCTTGGCTGATTATGAATGATTGGTTGAGGGACCTTGTAAATGAAAAGGATTACTAAAAAAGAAATGCTATCTAATGAAGAGATACAACAAATTAATTCAGCTTCAAAATGTTCAGGTAGTAAGAAAGACTAAGGGTTGTGGTGATTGACTGATTATTCCACTTTTTAGGGTCCTGCTTAGAGAAGAAGCAGAGTTTTTGATGTATACATAGAGAGATCTGTGTGAATGAAAAAGGCAAGCACGGTTTGAGTAGGGATTTTTTTTACTTATTTATAAGGAATTTTTCTACTCCATCTGACTAGTTCTGGATTCACGTCTGGGCAACCCATTAGGATTATCCTATCAAAATAATATATTAAAATTTATATGTATCAAAATATATCATATGAATATCAACTCAGCATTTTCCTTTTAGCATTAGAAAAAGGAAATATGATAAATAAAAAAATTATAAAAGAAATCTAGATTTTCCATATTTTCTGTTTGATATTGGTTATTGGTTGACATGGGTATATAAATCATGTTATACTGTTGAATAACAAGTTCTTAATTTTCACTTGAAATGAAAATTTGTGTAGTTGGGAGTCCCTGATGATTAAATAAACCAAGATTTTACCATGACTGCAATTTTAGAGGGATGCTAAAGCAAAAGCCTATGGGGCTGCTTTTGTGACTGGATACCAGCACTGATAAGCATCTATAAATCACGTAAGTTAAATTTTGATAGAAGAGGTGTGGGTATTAATAAATCTATCTTGCTGTTTATGTATTGAATGGGTAGCTAAGGATGCCAATCATTTATATTTTTGGTGCATCATCATATTGAATTGTGGATAATGTTTGTTATGTGAAGTGGGAGGCCGCTGTCTCAATCATTCAGTTTCTAGGGTTTTTCCCAGTTGTGTAGGTGATTTGGGAAGGGAGAAATAAGGTTATCTTCTAGGGTGAAGAGCTGATTAATATGAAAAGTTTGAGTTGGTTCAATTTAGATCCTTTTCTTGGATCATGGCCAGGGGAAAGGGTTGGGGTTTCAGGGGTTCATTGCTAAGCTGGCTGTAGAGATCCAAGTTCTGTCACTGTAACAGCTTTGCAGATTCGTTGTCAGAATAATGATTTTATAGAAAATATTTTTGGTTTGGGATGCATGGGTGAATTAGCTACTACCTTCTCTTTCAGTTTTGTTTTATTTCATCCGGGTTTTTCCATATGCTGCAGCAACATGTTTTTGACTGGGTACCTCATTGCCTTTTGGTTTCAGTTTTGACATGCTGTGGCAAAATGTTGGTTTGCATATCTGGTTGTAATTCTTTTATTATTTTCCTTTTTACCTTGGAGGTTCTCTCTGCCTTCTTCAAAGTTATTTTTGTATTCATATTTTCTGATCTATTATAGTCTGTTTGGTTTGACATTTGAGGGGAGACAATATCCTTCCATTTTCCTTCCTTCCCTTTCCCTCATTTGGATATACTAAATTGTGAAGAAAATTAAAGCAAAATAAGGGAAAGCCTCCCTCCCCATCCTCCCCTCCAATTTTTTTATCCAAATAAGGAAATTTGTCCCTGTGCCCCTCCCCTTAGACGAAACAGGCTCGTAATGAATTTTCTTTTTTAGATTAAAAAATCTGGATGTTTCAAGGTTGGCATGATACAAGCTGCACTTCAACCCACCGGCCATTACCTATTTGAAACATTTTGCTGTTTCACCTTCTGTTAGATTTTCAAGTCCTTGGTCTTCTGCACACTGGTTGGGCATCTCTTTGTTTTGAAATTGAATTGTAAAGAAAATATCTTGACATGTGCAGGCCTTGGCTCAAATGAAGAATTGGTTCACTCGCTTTCCAACAATTTTACAGGCTTGTGAGAGCATAATTGAGATGCTTAGAGGGCAATATGCACATTCTGTTGGTTGTTATAGTGAAGCTGCTTTTCATTATGTTGAAGCTGCTAAGGTAGGCTGTTTAGTTTGCCATCCATTCATAAGTTATATTGTGATATTGCTTTTTGGGAAAAAGGGGATAGGCTGATTTGAATGCAAGCAAGTTGCCAGGTTGATCTTAGTAGTGTATTTTGGTATTTCTTCTGCTTGACACAAAACATCATTTAGGGAAATCAAACAAAATATTTTGTTGTCATCTTCAGCGAACAGAGAGCAAATCAATGCAAGTTATGTGCCAAGCTTATGCCGCTGTTTCCTGCTTCTGTATTGGTGATGCTGAATCATCTTCACTGGTCAGTATTATTTTTCTTCTAGTAATAGAATTTTGACCACTTCTGATAATTTTACTTTAGTTTTTCATTTAGTAACTTTATTTAGTGATATTTTATTACTAATAAGTGGATTGCATATAGGCACTTGATTTGATTGGACCAATTAATGAAATGAGGGATTCTTCTATTGGAGTCAGAGAGGAAGCCAGTATTCTTTTTGCTAATGGGCTTTTATTAATGAAGCAGCAAGATCTGCATGAAGCTAGGTATCTGTCTGACTTTTTAGTTTGTATTTTTTCTGATTAGGTTATTTTGGTTTATGCTAGAAACATTTGACCATCATGCAAAGAAAATATGATATATTCTTTAAAATACAACCTTGATACAGGAACCGACTGGCCAAGGGTCTGCAGATTGCCCATAATCACATGGGAAACCTTCAACTTGTTTCTCAGTATTTGACAATCCTTGGGAATTTGGCACTTGCTCTTCATGACACTGGACAAGCTAGAGAGATTCTGAGATCCTCACTTACATTGGCAAAGAAGCTTTCTGATGTTCCAACTCAGATCTGGGTTCTTTCTGTCCTATCAGGTGCATTTTCTCACTCCCTATAACTTTCACATAGATTCAGGTCCAACAATTCAGAGGAGTTACAATAATGTGATGTCATGGAGTGTTGCTGTTGCTATTTAGAGAAGTTTTTTTGTTGATGTCTTATTGCAACAAAACTTATGATGATGAATTATTTTGTGTTTTAAACATCTATTTTTCATTTATTCTACTTCCGAATTATGAGTTTGGATTGTGAACCTATCTCATCTGGGCTTAAACAATTATTCTTTTGGCAGTTTTGTATCACCAATTAGGTGAGAAGGGAAGTGAAATGGAGAATGATGAATATCGAAGCAAGAAGTTGGATGATCTTCAAAAGAGGCTTGCTGATGCACGATCTTCTATCCAGCACATTGAACTAGTAAGGGCAGCAATTACCTGACTCTTCTATTTTTTATCTTCTGGTTAGGAGTAATTCTATATCTCTCTTTGGTTGAGGAAGGGGTTTAGATGGTATGTAGGGGACAAAAAGGGTGCTAACTTTTGGGAGTCTGTTTGACTTGGGAGAAAAGCTTCAAAATCAGGGTGTCCTTGGTTATATGGAGTCCCTAGTTTGAAGTCAACTGCAATAGCAGAAATGGGAAAAAATGTTAGTAGTGAGTACGTTTGGGACTTGAAATGGGGAACAGAACTTTCTGCATGGGAGGAGGGTGAGTTATGGTGGCTGCCAGGACTATTGAAGATGATGGTTCTTTTAGACAATAAAAAGGATAAGGGGTTTGGAAGTTTGAAATAATTGGTTAATTTCAGTTAAAACATTCTATGAGATGGAGAAAGTAGGTAGGGTGGATGCATTAAGGAGTGTTTTAGATTAGTATAGGAAAATGATATGCCTAGTGAGGTTGGGATCTGTGTAAAAGGTTCTTCATGGCAGTCTAGCTAGAAAGGAAAATTTTAGAAAAGGAGGAATCTTAAGTTGGGATTTGATGTGTGTGCTTTGCAAAAGGTTGAGGATGTTAAGCATTTAATGGCATAGTTTAGGGTTGTGTGATGTGGTTGAGATGTTTGAAATAATGGGATATATTCACTGTAGTTCCTGGGGGTCTTGAAGTTTTGTTATTGTGAGATTGGGATGAAGCTCTCTGAGTGAAACAATACAAGGAATGTGTAAGATCAGTTAAGAAAAAACTGATTCAAACCAACAATAAACTCAAGAAAAAATCTTGAGAAACGCGTGAAAGATGAAAGAAATAACATGAACTTAGCTAAAGATGATGGTCAAATTTTTTTTCATTGATTTTCCGTACATTTTTCATCTATTTCTGGTATGCTTTTTATACACTAGCTGCCACAATGCAATGTTCACCTACAATTAAATAATAATATAAACCCCATAAAGCAAGGGCATGGTATTGGATACAATTAAAGCCTGCCCATATTTTTAGGTGAACACTTAACATCAAAGATACATAAAAATTACATTGGAAAATCAACAAAAAAACTACTCCACAACTTAATTGAAACTGAACTGGAAATGAACAGTGCACGTGAATGGTAACTGGTTGCACTGTTTCATTGATCTTCAACAGAATGGAATGCGGATGTTGCTTTGAGTTCTTTGGTCAATGTGGTTAGGCAGAAATCAGTGTTATTTAATTGGCAAAATTCGGGATAGGGATGAGATTTTTTATCTAATTCAGATGAGATCTTTTATGTGGAGAAAGCTAAGGTGAGATAGCATAATCTTTTTCACCTTTGAGAGGTGAACTCTACAGCCAATTCTTAATTGCCGAAATATTCAGATTACTATAGGGCCAAGTAGAAGGGTAGAAGAAAGCTTTTGGGGAGCACCAGATGAATCAGTGTTGACGGATCTTCATGCGGAAACGAAGTATGATTGGTTTTGGTGGTGTTCTACATGATTGTAGAGGGAGAACTGTGCAATTTTTCAGGTCTATTTGGAGTTTTGGACTTGAATGAAGAAGAGTTCAGGTTCATTCTTTGTGCTATTAGACTGCTTAGTTCTTCCTCTTTATTAAGGTTTAAAGCATGGGACAGCAAGGCAAGAGAATTGAAAGGAAGGCATTTTATTATAATTTAAAGATGCGTGGCATGTACTGCCTTTATATAGGCTTTAGGGTAGACAAATGTAGAAATATATCAATTACATTGAAATACCCTAGATACAATCTACCCCATTAATACTATAATCAAATATATTATTTGATTTTATATGTGGAGTCAATCAATCACAATGTGATTGATTCTCCAATACCTTAACACTCTTTAGTTGGAATTCGCAGCTTGTCAAAGAAAGTGATTAACAATTGTAGTCTCTTGGGTAAACCAAAAAGAGGGAAGGTCTTGGTGATTTGGTTTCAGGTTAAATGAGTTAGCTATTATGTTAATGAAGATTAGATTAGTGAAGGTTGTAAATGTTTGTGGGGAAAAGAATTATTTGGTAGATTTCTTCTCTAAACAGGGGGTTAATCATAACAAGCTATGATGTTCTTGAGTAGAGACTTGAGAATAAGTAGCGCTCTCTCTCATTGATGCTCAGTACTTGGCGTCACTTTTAGGAGTAGCATATAGACTGAAGTTGTTTCATCTGAAGTATGGTGATGTATCTACAAATTAAAAGGTTGCTTATTGGTGGTACTGGATGATTTCTGTTTTACACTTTCAAGTTTATTCTCTGGGCACTGTTTGTCTGCGATTCATGCTGTTTCTGGCAGTTTATGTCTTCTTCAGGAAAAAATTGTTCAGACACTAACTGTACAAGTTCTGGAGGATACTGGTTTTGGAAGGCTGTTTTACTCGGTTCACTCGTGAATTTTAAAGCTACTTATCTCCTTATGGCTTATACACTTTTCTCCACAAACTTAAAAAAAGTTGATGTTCTTTTGCTGATTTATAAAATATAAGAAACAAAAAACTCCAAATCTCTAACTACCAATTCTCTTGTATGTCCTGAGCAGATTGAGAAAGCAAAAATTGAAGTTCTGCAATATCATGAGCTAGACAAGCGTGCAATAGCAGGGCAAGCTATGAGGGTCAATCTTGACATACCGGAATCTGTTGGCCTGTCAACACCAATGCCAATTCAATCTTCATCGAGGCTAGTGGATTTAGACATAGGAAGACGCGGAAAGAGAAAACTCTAGTAATTTTTCTTACATTTTTATCACCTTTGTTTTATGTGGGAAGCAAGACTTTAGATGCCAACTATCTAGGTGACTCAATGTAATCTCTTCTTTAAATAGAGCAAGAGATTTTGGATTCAAGTTTTATGACGTGTGGGTAAGATGTGAGAGAATTGCCTTTTATTATATAATATAAAATAAGAAAAATGTTAAGGCAAATACTAGGATATTGTAACTCTGGTAGTAGACTTGGCCATGTACGAGAGCCATGAGTGTATAATTTTGGTTTGAAGCTACTTAAATGTAAACTAGTTAAAGTGAATGTTTTAATAACATGATTGATTCTATGTTGATTAAATGTTTTTTAATATTTAATTGCCCAAGCTCCAAGTCATGCATGATAACCAATGCAAACAAAACATGAATAGATGTTTGCTTGCCAATCAGTGAGAACGTCGTTGAAATACCATTCAAAGAGGGGCTGGCAGCCAAAGAAGTCGGGATAGGGGGTTATTTCTTAAGGAATAAAACAAACGGGCTGGTTTTCTATAAAAGTGAAAGTTTGAGGGCTCATATTTCCTTTGAAATCTGTCTCTTTTTAGAAGAGTTTCTTTCTTTCAATTCATCATTTCATAATCTATCATTTTCATTTTAGTTTTCTCTTTACTTTTGCTTTTCAATTCATTTTCTCTGAAAGAAAGTTAATAATAATAAATTTTAGGATAAGTGTAACCTTTAAGGTATTTGGCAAAACTTAAAAAGTGGTAATTTTCAGAGTAAATTTTTATCTAATAAATTTGAAATTTTGTTGGAAGAAAATTTAAAAATTAGCTTTTAGAGATTTTTAAGCAAGTTTTGAAAAATTTTAGATATGTAATTTTTTTAAAATTTGCTTAAATGCTATTTTAAAAGTCAATTTTTAAATTTTTCTCTAAAGAAATTTCAAATTTGTTAGAGAACAACTTGCTTTTTTAAGTAAGTGCTTTTTAAGCTTTGCCACACTTTGATGATTAGTGGTGATGCTGATGCGATGTTGATTTACTGTTTTTCATTTCTTTTGTTGATTGTGGTATTATTTAAAGAAGAAAAAAAGAAAAAAGCTTGGTTGTGTTGTACGTTTGTAGTAGTAAAAATGGCAGATTCATGGATGAAGATCATTTGTTGCAACTAAGAGGCAAGTCCTTAATCAAAGAAATTGTTGCAACAATCAAAAGCTCAAAGTGGTCACGTGTGTGTATATGTTGGAAATACTTTTTCAATAATTTTGTTCCAAGTTCTCCATTGAAGAGGGCTTCATCCAAGAACATTATATGTGCTCATAAGAGGAGGAAAAAGAGAAATCAAGAGACAGAATTGGGTTGATGATTCTCTTTGAATTAATGAGATGACTTATAGTAGGAAGGAGACTATTGTATACCGAAATCCCTACTTTCTTGTAAGAGAAACTCTACTAAGTAATGGGGGGATACTAGCTGATGTTAGTATCCTCACCTAATAACAATTTGATACCTCTTTAAATTTTGACATCTCATAAACTAAATAAAAGACATCTCATATTCTACTGATAGCCTGTCTCTCCCTTCTCTTCTCTCCTTTTTCTCCTCACAATAGAATATCTGGACGTAACTCATCCTTTCTTCAATTTTTAGCAAACTAAAGCTCTTAGCTTCTTTCAAATCCTCAAAAACTAGATAGTACTTCTCAAATTTATCCTAAAACAAAGTCACAAAATTCCTTTTTTGGTTTTCGGATCCTTTCATCCCCTTTCTTCACTCTAACTTTTGTTTCTCGAATATATATGGTGGACCGTCCAAAAATAATCAAGTAAAACTAACGAGTAACCACTGGCACTACTGCAAGAATCTCATATTCAGACCGAATTATCGGTCCGGATATATTACAAATCGGTCTGAATTTATATATACGGACCGATATTGGTTCCTATAGTTGATCTGAAAAAACATGGTATGAAAAAATATAATATACAGACTGACAAAAAATCGGTCCGTATATATAAACTATACGGACCGAAATTGGTTCGGATATTTCAGTAAGAAATATAAATGGTTAGTGAAAAATTGAAATAAGCGGATCGAAATTGGTCCCAAAAACATAATATAATAAAATAATAAAATATGTACGAACCGATAACGGTCTGTAACTGTGGCGGAAAGAGGCCTCGCAAATATATCCGGACTGGGATCGGTTCGCATATGGAGGACCCAACGGCAATTTTTAAAACTTGCAACTATATCCAGACCGTTTCCGATCTGAATATTGGACTTGTTTGTAACTTTTAAAAGTTACGTCTCCCAACCAGCGCCATTCTCAAACTATATACAGACCGTTTTTGGTCCGAATATGATGGACTTGCTTGTAACTTTTCAAAGTTCCGTCTCCCAACCGGCGCCATTCTCAAACTATATCCAGACCGTTTTCGGTCCGAATATCGTGGACTTGCTTGTAAC